GCCCCCCCCCCCTGCCACTCAACAGTATGAACAAAGAAATAGAAAAACATCTCAGCAGAGTGCTCACTTCTGGTGGAAACAACACGTCTGATTAGCATTCCACAGATGAAGAGACGGACGAGAGAGCATCCTGTTCAAAGACTGGATTACTGAGCTACTCGATATGGCCATAGATCTACACTGAAACAGATATGGTTGATGGATATGGGTTTTTTTTCTAAATAATCGTTTCTCTCTTTTATACATATTCAGGTTAAAATAGCATTTTAGGAAGACAAGCTTTACAGTGTCCTGCAGTGTCACCAGAGACTGTCAGTCCCCCACACACACTCACACTCACCGAAACATACACACGCTACCCCTATGGCATTATGGGAAAAAGCTTTCCACCCTCACCATCTTCCTGTCTCCACACTCACTTAAAACGTGCCGTTTGATAGTGTATCACAAGAGTTCGGATTCTTACCGCTGCTGCTCATTTATGCGCCAATGGTTAATACAGTATCAGTGAAGAGTTCAATATTGTTTTTTTTTTTTTGTCTTTTCATGTTATTATAGGACAAAGAGAGAGAAATCATCATTGCATAAAGGCTTTTGTTTCTCTTTCAGACTGTGCACTGTCCTCCAGGATGTGATGCCCTCAGCTGGAGGGGGTGGGAACCCAAAACTTTGCAGAATGGATTTTGCCAGTCACAGCTATCAGAGTTACTAGCCTCCCACCACCACCCTGCCCACTGCTGTTTTGTCCGATGCTGCTCCACTCCAAATAATGTCCTCTCTCAGTATTAATATAATTATTGTCATTATCACCATCTCCACCGTTTGTCTTTGTTGTATTCCGCTGCTGTGTAGTCATGTCTTAAAGTGACATGGCGTGGTTAACTGTTGGGTCGTGTGGATGTAGATTTTCTGGACAGGAGGTCTGGATCCTCTATGCCGTGCTAGACTTGCTCAGCTCCTCCCTGATTGCTGAGGACACAAAGTGAAAACCAGACACATGCAGGTGAGAATCACTAGCACATCTCAAGCCTCAGCTGCTTTTAACAATACAGCAGTAATGTGGATTGTTTATGCAAATTACAAAAATCAAAGTTGAAAAATATAATAACCATTAAAATCCATTATATTTGACAGAAGCCTTTATGAACTACTCCATCTCTGTCATCATCCTGCAGGTCTGCTCCAAACACAGAGCTGCCACTGGTGACTGGACTTGGATTCCAGCAGTAAGTCTGTTGGATGTACTGTAGTATGTATTACCTTTATGCTGCAGCTACAGGAACATTTCATTCAGAGATGATTATGTTTAGTGCATTTGATCTCACCCTCCATCTAAATGCAGTGGACATTAATATAATTTCATCTGTGATGTTCAAAGCGTTAAAAAAGACAATCTCCTCATTTGTCTGGACAGATAACCAACCTCTGTGTCAAAGTTTACCTTTGGAACTAAAGGGAACACAGTGATGTCTGGGCTTTGTCCAGTGTAACCAGGACACTGATGTCACTGTCTCTTTTTTAAATGAGACTCAATGTTTTGAGCCATTACACCATTGACACCAACTGTATGTTTGAGAAGAGAGAGTATGTAATGTATGCTATTTCATTTTAATGTTTTCTTCAATATTTCAAGCTTCAATGCCCAAAGGAAGAAAGGAAAGAAGAAAAAAAAAACAAGTCACCTCTGTGTTTCTGTTTGTGGCATTTGATGTGAAGAAAAACCTCTGAAAGATCTGCTAATGTGTGTGAATGAACAGCACAGGTTTCAATCAGAATTACCATCAATGAGCTCTTCTTTTAGCTTTGACAGCTCCTTCCTCATCTCGTCCATGATGTCCTAAAAAAAAATTACACAATACAATGTCACATCTTCATACACATGCGATAAATGTCATTAGAGAAGAGACAAACCAGACTTTTGCCACCTGGCAGCTTCCATTTGTGTCTCTGCCTCCTCTTGGACAGTCACATAGCATTAACAGGAGATGTTATCTGACAGATTCCTTTAGCTTTTGAGTTGGGGTAGGTAGAATGCCAAGTGGCATAGGGAGATTCGCTGTCTACTTTACAAAGTAGATAATCCGAGCTAAACTGACAAAGTATATGGATAAAGTAGTGTTATGTGCCTTATGTTTGGCCTACTTTGTTTGCTTTGCTGTGAAACACAATGTATGAGAAAATGATCATGAAAGTGAGTGTAACTGGGGGGTTTTGTAGGGTGCTGCCTGTCTCAGAGCCCTGCTGCTGTGAGCAGTTGTCAAAACAGATAGGCAGGACTCTGAGAGGCTGTGTACTTATCTACCAGGCTCATTTGCAGGGGGAGGAACTGCTTTGTAACAGGACGGTTCAGCGCACACAGCCACACTGTTCCACCAGTAACATGGCTGCATGATTAGTTGTAAAAAAGTGATCAATGAAAAGCCCTCTGTCAGTGGAGGTTATGGCTGAGATCTTTTAGTTTGGTATCATATGCAAAAATGAACTCGTTATCTTGAAGCGGCAGGATGTAGACCTTGTAATTCAGGTATTTATCCCCCATATCTGTGTTTTGTCCAACATATTAGCACAAACGAAGATGTTTCACAGATACTTATTGATCTAATGAGAATTATTCATGTACTGCATATCAGTGAATGTAATGGTCTTCATGCTGAGGAGCTAGAGCAGCTTCTTAAGTGGAATTAAGATGTGGGACTCCATGACAAAATCTAAACAATTACATTAAAGTGGGAAATATATTATAGCATATGAAATAAGCAAGTGAAGTCTAAAGACTAAAATAATTTTAAAAATACAGGTTTCACAGGCTGTCTCCAGGATGGATGCATTTTATACCATGCAGAAAATTGCATAAAAAGGAGGG